TGGTGTATCTCATTGATTGATTTGTATATATTGAAGAACCCTTGCATCCCTGGGGTAAATCCCACTTGATCACGGTGTATGATCCTTTTAATGTGTTATTGGATTCATTTGCTAGTACTCTTGAGGATTTTTACATCTATATTCATCAGTGATACTGATCTGTAATTTTCTGTTTTTGTAGTATCTTTGTCTGGTTTTGGTATCAGGGTGATGGTGGCCTCATACAATGAGTTTGGGAGTGTTCCTTCCTCTGCAATTTTTTGCAAGACTTTGAGAAGGATGGGTGTTAGCTCTTCTCTAAATGTTTGATAGAATTCACCTGTGAAGCCATCTGGTCCTGGACTTTTGTTTGCTGGAAGATTTTTAATCACAGTTTCAATTTCATTATTTGCGATTGGTCTGCTCATGTTTTCTATTTCTTCCTGGTTCAGTCTCAGAAGGTTGTGTTTTCTTCCAGGTTATCCATTTTATTGGCATAGAGTTGCCTGTAGTAGTCTCTTATGATGCTTTGTATTTCTGTGAAGTCCATTGTAACTTCTCTTTTTTATTTCTAATTTTATTGATTTGAGTCCTCTCCCTCTTTTTCTTATTGAGTCTGGCTAAAGGTTTACCAATTTTGTTTATCTTTTCAAAGAACCAGTTTTTAGTTTTATTGATCTTTACTGTTGTTTTATTTGTTTCTATCTCATTTATTTCTGCTCTAATCTTTATGATTTCTTTCCTTCTGCTAACTTTTGGTTTTGTTTGGTCTTCTTTCTCTACTTCCTTTATGTGTAAGGTTGGATTGTTTATTGGAGATTTTTCTTGTTTATTGAGGTAGGATTGTATTGCTCTAGATTTCCCTCTTAGAACTGCTTTTGCTGCATCCCATAAGGTTTGGATCATCGTGTTTTCGTTGTCATTTGTCTCTAGGTATTTTTTAATTTCCTCAGCCATCTCTTGGTTATTTAGTAACGTATTGTTTAGCCTCCATTTGTTTGTGTTTTTTACGTTTTTTATCCTGTAATTGATTTCTAATCTTATAGCGTTGTGGTCAGAAAAGATGCTTGATATGATTTCAGTTTTCTTAAATTTACCGAGGCTTGATTTGTGACCCACGATGTGATCTATCCTGGGGAATGTTCCATGTGCACTTAAGAAGAAAGTGTAGTCGGCTGTTTTGGGATGGATTGTCCTATAAATGTCAATTAAGTCTACCTTGTCTATTGTGTGATTTAAAGCTTTTGATTCCTTATTATATTCTGTCTGGATGATCTGTCCCTTGGTGTAAGTGAGATGTTAAAGTCTCCCACTATTATTGTGTTACTGTCGATTTCCTCTTTTATAGCTGTTAGCATTTACCTTATGTATTGAGGTGCTCCTATGTTGGGTGCATATATATTTATAATTGTTATATCTTCTTCTTGGATTGATCCCTTGATCATTGTGTAGTGTCCTTCCTTGTCTCTTGTAACATTCTTTATTTTAAAGTCTATTTTATCTGATATGAGTATTGCTACTCCAGCTTTCTTTTGATTTTCATTTGCATGGATTATGTTTTTCCATCCCCTCACTTTCAGTCTGTATGTGTCCCTAGGTCTGAAGTGGGTCTCTTGTAGACAGCATATATATGGGTCTTGTTTTTGTATCCATTCAGTGAGCCTGTGTCTTTTTGTTGGAACATTTAACCCATTCACATTTAAGGTAATTATCAATTTGTATGTTCCTATTACCATTTTCATAATTGTTTGGGGTTTGTTTTTGTAGGTCCTTTTCTTCTTTTGTGTTTCCCACTGAGAGAAGTTCCTTTAGCATTTGTTGTAGAGCTGGTTTTGTGGTGCTGAATTCTCTTATCTTTTGCTTGTCTGTAAAGCTTTTGATTTCTCCATCGAATCTGAATGAGATCTTTGCCGGGTAGAGTAATCTTGGTTGTAGGTTCTTCCGTTTCATCACTTTAAATATATCGTGCCACTCCCTTCTGGCTTGTAGTGTTTCTGCTGAGAAATCAGCTGTTAACCTTATGGGATTCCCTTGTATGTTATTTGTCATTTTTCCCTTGTTGTTTTCAATAATTTTTCTTTGTCTTTAATTCTTGTCAATTTGATTACTATGTGTCTTGGCGTGTTTCTCCTTGGAATTATTCTGCCTGGGACTCTGTGCTTCCTGGACTTGGGTGGCTATTTCCTTTCCCATGATAGGGAAGTTTTTGACTATAATCTCTTCAAATATTTTCTCGGGTCCCTTCTCTCTCTCTTCTCCTTGTGGGACCCCTGTAATGCAAATGTTGGTGCGTTTAATGTTTTCCCAGAGGTCTCTTAGGCTGTCTTCATTTCTTTTCATTCTTTTTTTTTTATTCTGTTCTGCGGCAGTGAATTCCACCATTCTTTCTTTCAGGTCATTTATCCATTCTAATGCATCAGCCATTCTGCTATTGATTCCTTCTAGTTTATTTTTCATTTCAGTTATTGTATTGTTCATCTCTGCTTGTTTGTTCTTTAATTCTTCTAGGTGTTTGTTCTTTAATTCTTCTAGGTCTTTGTTAAACATTTCTTCCATCTTCTCGATCTTTGCCTCCAGTCTTTTTCCGAGGTCCTGGATCATCATCACTATCATTATTCTGAATTATTTTTCTGGAAGGTTGCCTATCTCTACTTCATTTAGTTGTTTTTCTGGGGTTTTATCTTGTTCTTTCATCTGATACATTGTCCTCTGCCTTTTCATTTTGTCTATCTTTCTGTGAATGTGGTTTTCATTCCACAGGCTGCAGGATAGTAGTTCTTCTTGCTTCTGCTGTCTGCCCTCTGGTGGATGAGGCTATCTAAGAGGCTTGTGTAAGCTTCCTGATGGGAGGAACTGGTGGTGGGCAGAGCTGGCTGTTGCTCTGGTGGGCAGAGCTCAGTAAAACTTTAGTCCGCTTGTCTGCTGATGGGTGGTGCTGAGTTCCCTCCCTGTTGGTTGTTTGGCCTGAGGTGACCCAGCACTGGAGGCTACAAGCTCTTTGGTGGGGCCAATGGCGGACCCCGGGAGGGCTCACGCCAAGGAGTACTTCCCCTAACTTCTGCTGCCACTGTCTTTGTCCCTGTGGTGACCCACAGTCACCCCCCACCTCTGCAGGAGACCTTCCAACACTAGCAGGTAGGTCTGGTTCAGTCTCCTATGGGGGTCACTGCTCCTTCCCTCTGGGATCTGATACACACACTACTTTGTTCGTGCCCTCCACGAGTGAAGTCTCTGTTTCCCCCAGTCCTGTTGAAGTCCTGCAATGAAATCCCACTAGCCTTCAAATTCTGGTTTTCTGGGAATTCCTCCTCGCATTGCCGGACTCCCAGGTTGGGAAGCCTGACGTGGGGCTCAGAACCTTCACTCCAGTGGGTAATCTTCTGTGGTATAATTGTTCTCCAGTTTGTGAGTCACCCATCCAGCAGTTATAGGATTTGATTTTATTGTGATTGCACTCCTCCTACCATCTCATTGCAGCTTCTCCTCTGTCTTTGAATGTGGGATATCTCTTTTGGTGAGTTCCAGTGTCTTCCTGTCAATGCTTGTTCATCAGTTAGTTGTGATTCCGGTGCTCTCACAACAGGGAGTGAGCACACGTCCTTCTACTCTGCCATCTTGAACCAATCTCCTTGTTTTATATTTTTGTACGTGTTTCCTATTAATAGAAGATAGCTAGATTGTTACATCTGCTTCTGCATTCAACCTGTGCAATACTGTTGACCCTTGAACAACATGGATTTGAACTGTGAGGGTCCACTTATACGTGGATTTTGTTCACTAAATACGTACTGTGATGTTGCATGATCTGTGGTTGAATCCCTGGATGCAGCCAACTGTAAAGTTATACTTACATTTTCAACTGCACAGGGGTTAGTGCACCTAACCCCCAGTTGTTGAAAGGTCAACTGTATATTGTTTTGGTAAAAGTCACTGAAGAACATCTAGCCTCACACAGATATGTAGTTGAAAAAGAGAGGGGTTTTTTTTAAAAATAAATTTATTTTATTATTTATTTTTGGCTTCATTGGGTCTTCGTTGCTGTGCGTGGCTTTCTCTAGGTGCAGTGAGCAGGGGCTATTCTTCGCTGCGATGCGTGGGCTTCTCGTTGCGGTGCGCGGGCTTCTCTTGTTGTGGTGGCTTCTCTTGTTGCGGAGCATGGGCTCTAGGCATGCGGACTTCAGTAGCTGTGGCTCACAGGCTCTAGAGCGCAGGCTCAGTAGTTGTGGTGCACGGGCTTAGTTGCTCCGTGGCATGTGGGATCTTCCTGGACCAGGGCTCGAACCCGGGTCCCCTGCATTGGCAGGCGGATTCTTAACCACTGTGCCACCAGGGAAGTCCCCAAGAGAGGGTTATTTTAATAACCTTTTCATATAATTGTGGGTATTCTACTTTAATATTACACCAAGACTCAGCACATGATAATTTCTTAAAATTAGTTGTGTGGTGCTTTCACCCTGGTGATACTTGTGGGAGCCGCTCCTAACCTATGGATCAGATGGCCACTTTTTTTTTTTTTAAGGAAAAGTTGGTCACTGTCTTTTGAAATTATGCTTTATGTAAGGTAGAATAAGAAATGCAAATCATTATCTTCATTATACCCTTTTAAAAAGTCAAGTCTTGAAAGATTATAGAAGCTTCTAATCAAACACCAACATCTCATGTGCATAGAAATTGGAACACTTTTTCCTTGATAGATCCACACTTCATATTATGGCTGCTTTTTTGAGGTAAGAAGTGAAAACTTAACAGTTTCTAACATAGTTCCTGGATAAATATTTGTTGAAACTATCTAATGTTTGTTAGACTGTTTTTATTCATTTCTTTCAAATTCTTATTTATGTCTATTACCTTATTCGAATAAGTGAGAAAAATGCCTTTTAGAAATGCCTTAACCTGGTACAGAAATAGAATTAAACATTCATGTTTACATATATGTCTAGTAAATTAGGCAACCACTTTATCTGCTTGTTCAGAATGTTTCAACATCATTAATCCATAATTTTATGTTTATCTATTTTAAGATCCACACAGGTTTACAGCACCAAATAATCTGGCCCTGTCAGCCCAGCTGCATTCCTCTGGATGAAAAACTCCTGCCCCAGCTTCTAAAAGAAGCAGGCTACGCTACCCACATGGTCGGAAAATGGCACCTGGGAATGTACAGGAAAGAATGTCTTCCAACCCGCCGAGGATTTGATACCTACTTTGGTAATGGAAATGCACATGTTTCTTTAACAACTCTGGCCAACTGCAGCCGTCTCATAAAACACAGCCAAGTGTAATCAAATGAAATAACTGGAAACTTAAACAGAGTGAATCAGTCAGCACTGCCATGGGGCCACTGTCTAATGCCACAACCATAAACATGGCTGTGCACTCAGCTCGTGATGGGACAGGCAGTTATCTTTGCCAGGGTTCTACATGCCACGTAGGGGCCTTTGCAGAGTCTGCTACCTCCAAGTCAGAGACCACTCTACTCTTAGAGAACCTTATTACCAAAAGGGGATACAGATTGATTTTTTAAAAAAATTCCAGGCAAAACCCAATACAAGAATATTTCCTTCACAAAGGTTCAGGATCTTTTTTTCTCCTCATGAATTGTGTTCAAAGGTTTTATTTTGTTTTGTATTTCCTGGAGATGATAAAGAAGACTCTTTTCCAATTGGCGTCCTTCTTTCCTTCTGTGAGATCTGTTTTTGAAATTACTAGATTGGGGAAGATAGATCAAATAAAGAAAATGGGAGGGTAAATAACAAATAGTAATAGGAAAGATACAAAATAATAAGTATTTTATGGATTTGATAGCCCTATAAATATAAAGCCTACAATTTTTTAAAAAAATATATACTCTATTTAAACCTGTTACAAACCATTTCTTAACAACCTATTTATCTATTTATCTTGCCAGGGGCTACATAGCTTTCTGTCAAGTTCTTTTCATATTTTGCTTTTTTTTTTAATTGGGGTGTAGCTGTTTTACAATGTTTGTTAGTTTCTACTGTACAGCGAAGTGGAGTTCCCTGTGCTATACAGCAGGTTCTTATTAGATATCTATTTTATACATATTAGTGTATATACATCAATTGCAATCTCCCAGTTCATCCCACCTCTCACCCCCAACTTTCCCCCTCATATTTTGCTTTCCATCTAGCTATTCTGTTTTATCTGTCTAGCTGTTTAGCTCCCTACCTACCTCCCATTTGTCTCTTCATTTATTTACAAACTGCCATATACAAAAAGGAACACACAATGAAGATAAATTTTAAAAAAATAAATAGAATTGAAAAATCAGGGTGGGCTACCCTGGTGGCGCAGTGGTTGGGAGTCCACCTGCCGATGCAGGGGACACGGGTTCGTGCCCCGGTCCAGGAGGATCCCACATGCCATGGAGCAGCTGGGCCCGTGAGCCATGGCCGCTGAGCCTGCACGTCCAGAGCCTGTGCTCCGCAAGGGGAGAGCCCACAACAGTGAGAGGCCCGCGTACTGCAAAAAAAAAAAAAAAAAAATCAGGGTGAGAGGAGGCGGAGTCAAGATGGCGGTATGGAAAGAGGTGGAGTTAGTGTCTCCCCACAGCTAGGGTGCCTGCTGGCCACTGGTGGGGGACTCTGACACCCAAGGAGACAGGAGGAACCCCAAAGTGAACTGGTAGGATGTAAGGGGACTGAAGGGGGAGAAGTGGAGGTCAGACAGGATTGGCATCCCTGAGGCCAGGGAGATTAGGAGAGGCAGGCAGGAGGGGCCCTCTGGGAGAAGCGGGAGAGGAGTGGAGGGTGATTGCCCTGTTCACTCAGGCCCAGGGAGCCTGCTGAACTCCCAGGCCTATCCCCTGCCCTCCAAAGCCCCCTCCAGGCTGCGTACATTCTTGGGGGCATAGGAGGGAGGCTGGGGAGATCAGGAGAGGCAGGCGGGAGGGGCCCTCCCAGACCAGAGGAGGAGGAGAGGAGAGGAGGGTGTTTGCCCTGCCCACTTGAGCCCAGGAAGGCTGCTGGACTCCCAAGTGAGGGCCCCTGCCCTGTGAGACCAGGGCTGGGGGGCACGCCTGGGCCCCTTACGTTCCTTGAGCCTAACCGTCCCCCCCACCACACACCCTCCAGGGCCTTTTTCAGCCCTGTGGGTCCTGAGCATCAGCCCTGCCCACCACCCAAACCTCACCCTTGCTTAGCCCCCACCCTCCACAGCCAAGGCCTTCCCCCCAACCTTTTTTTCCCCTCCTTCTCTTTTTTTTACTATTGTGGTACTGTTGTATATTCCAGTTGTTGATTCATCTATATTTTTATTTTTATATTCTCCCTATCTGTTAGTTTTCTAGCCTAATTTTATTTATTACTTTGTTATTGTTCTTTTGGTTTTTCTTTTTTTTTTTTTGCCTCCCCAGGTGGCTTGCAGGATCTTGATTCACAAGCCCAGGGTCAGGCCGAAGCTCCTGCGGTGGGAGCTCTGAGTCTGAACCACTGGACTAACAGGGAACCTGAGACCACGGGGAATATTCATCAGAGTGAGGTCTCATGGAGTTCCTCATCTCAGGCAAGACCCAGCTCTACCCAATAGCCTACTAACCCTAGTGTTGGAAGCATCAGGTCAAACAACCAGTAAGACAGGAACACAATCCCACTTATTGAAAAAAAAAATGAGATGGCAAAAAAATATGTCACAGATGAAGGAGCAAGGTCAAAACCTATAAGGCCAAATAAATGAAGAAGAAATAGGCAATCTACCTGAAAAAGAATTCAGAGTAATGATAGTAAAGATGATCCAGAATCTCGAAAATAGAATGGACGCACAGATTGACAAAATACAAGAAATGTTTAACAAAGATCTAGAAGCACTAAAGAACAAACAAACAGAGATGAACAACATAATAACTGAAATGAAAAATACACTAGAAGGAATCAGTAACAGAATAACTGAGGCAGAAGAATGAATAAGTGAGCTGGAAGTAACTGCCAAGGAGCAGAATAAAGAAAAAAGAATGAAAAGAATTGAAGACAATCTCAGAGACCTCTGGGACAACACTAAACGCACCAACATTTGAATCATAGGGGTCCCAGAAGAAGAGAAAAAGAAAGGGTCTGAGAAAATATTTGAAGAGTTTATAGTTGAAAACTTCCCTAACATGGGAGAGGAAATAGTCACCCAAGTCCAGGAAGCACAGAGAATCCCATACAGGATAAACCCTAGGAAAAACACACCAAGACACATATTAATCAAAGTAACAAAAATTAAATTCAAAGAAAAAATATTAAAAGCTGCAAGGGAAAAACAGAAAATAACATACAAAGGAATCCGAACAAGGTGATCAGCTGATTTTTCAGTGGAAACTCTGCAGGCCAGAAGCGGGTGGAAGGATATACTTAAAGTGGTGAAAGAGAAAAACCTACAACCAAGATTACTCTACCTAGCAAGGATCTCATTCAGATTCGATGGAGAAGTCAAAAGCTTTTCAGACAAGCAAAAGCTAAGAGAATTCAGCACCAGTAAACCAGTTTTACAACAAATGCTGAGAAGAAAAAGACCCACAAAAAACAAACCCAAAACAATTAAGAAAATGGTAATAAGGACATGCATATCAATAATAACCTTGAATGTAAATGGATTAAATGTCCCAACCAAAAGACATAGACTGGCTGAATGGATACAAAGACAAGACCCATATATATGCTGTCTACAACAGACCCACTTCAGACCTAGGGACACACACAGACTGAAAGTGAAGCGATGGAAAAAGATATTCCATGCAAATGGAAATCAAAAGAAAGCTGGATTAGCAATACTTGTATCAGATAAAATAGACTTTAAAATAAAGACTGTTACAAGAGATAAGGAAGGATACTACATAATGATCAAAGGATCAATCCAAGAAGGAGATATAACAATTATAAATGTTTATGCACCCAACATAGGAGCACCTCAATATATAAGGCAAATGCTAACAACCATGAAAGGAGAAATCCACAGTAACACAATAATAGTAGGGGACTTTAACATCCCACCTACACCAATGGACAGATCATCCAAACAGAAAATAAATAAGGGAACACAAGCTTTAAATGACACAATAGATCAGATAGATCTAATTGATATTTATAGCACATTCCACCCCAAAGTGGCAGAATACACTTTCTTCTCAAGTGCACATGGAACATTCTCCAGGATAGATCACATCTTGGGTCACAAATCAAGCCTCGGAAAATTTAAGAAAATTGAAATCGTATCAAGCATCTTTTCTGACCACAACGCTGTGAGATTGGAAATCAATTACAGGAAAAAAACTGTAAAAAACCAAATACATGGAGGCTAAACAGTGTGCTACTAAATAATCAAGAGATCACTGAAGAAATCAAAGAACAAATGAAAGAATACATAGAAACAAATGACAATGAAAACATGATGACCCAAAACCTATGGGATGCAGCAAAAGCAGTTCTAAGAGGGAAGATTATAGCTATGCAATCTCATCTTAAGAAAAAAGAAACATCTCAAATAAACAATCTAACCCTACACTTAAAACAACTAAAGAAAGAAGAACAAAGAAAACCCAAAGTCAGTAGAAGGAAAGAAATCATAAAGATCAGAGCAGAAATGAATGAAATAGAAACAAAGAAAACAATAGCAAAGATCAATAAAACTAAAAGCTGGTTCTCTGAGAAGATAAACAAAATTGGTAAACCCTTAGCCAGACTCATCAAGAAAAAAAGGGAGAGGATGCAAATCAAAGTTAGAAATGAAAAAGGAGAAATGACAACTGACACTGCAGAAATACAAAGGATTATAAGAGACTACTGCAAACATCTATATGCCAATAAAATGGACAATCACGAAGAAATGGACAAATTCTTGGAAATGTACAATTTTCCAAGACTGAACCAGGAAGAATTAGAAAATATAAACAGTCCTATCACAAGTAATGAAATTGAAACTGTAATTAAAAATCTTCCAACAAACAAAAGTCCAGGACCAGATGGCTTCACAGGTGAATTCTATCAAACATTTAGAGAAGAGCTAACACCCATCCCTCTCAAACTCTTCCAAAAAATTGCAGAGGAAGGAATACTCCCAAACTCAATTTATGAGGCCACTATCACCCTGATACCAAAACCAGATAAAGATACTACAAAAAAAGAAAATTACAGACCAATATCACTGATGAACATAGATGAAAAACTCCTGAACAAATACTAGCAAACAGAATCCAACAGCACGTTAAAAGGATCATACACCATGATCAAGTGGGATTTATCCCTGGGATGCAAGGATTCTTCAATATGCGCAAATTAATCAATGTGATACACCATATTAACAAATTAAGGAATAAAAACCATATGATCATCTCAATAGATGCAGAAAAAGCTTTTGACAAAGTTCAACACCCATTTATGATTAAAAAAAAAAAAACTCTCCAGAAAATGGGCATAGAGGGAACCTACCTCAACATAATAAAGGTCATATATGACAAACCCACATCAAGCATCATACTCAGTGGTGAAAGCATTTCCACTAAGATCACGAACAAGACAAGGATGTCCACTCTCAGCACTGTTATTCAACATAGTTTTGAAAGTCCTAGCCACAGCAATCAGAGAAGAAAAAGAAAGAAAAGGAATACAAATTGGAAAAGAAGAAGTAAAACTGTCACTGTTTGCAGATGACATGATACTATACACAGAAAATCCTAAAGGTGTCACCAGAAAGCTACTAGAACTAATCAGTGAATTTGGTAAGGTCGCAGGATACAAAATTAATGAACAGAAATCTCTGGCATTCCTATACACCAACAATGAAAAATCAGAAAGAGAAATTAAGGAAACACTCCCATTTACCGTTGCAACAAAAAGAATAAAATACCTAGGAATAAACCTGCCTAAGGAGGCAAAAGAGTTGTACTCAGAAAACTATAAAACACTGATGAAAGAAATCAAAGATGGGGCTTCCCTGGTGGCGCAGTGGTTGAGAGTCTGCCTGCCGATGCAGGGGACACGGGTTCGTGCCCCGGTCCAGGAAGATCCCACATGCCGCGGAGCGGCTGGGCCCGTGAGCCGTGGCTGCTGAGCCTGCGCATCCAGAGCCTGTGCTCCACAACGGGAGAGGCCACAGCAATGAGAGGCCTGCGTACCGCAAAAAAAAAAAAAAAAAAAAAACTATGATGAGGTATCACCTCATGCCAGTCAGAATTGCCATTATCAAAAAATCTAGAAACAATAAATACTGGAAAGGGTGTGGTGAAAAGGGAACCCTTCTGCACTGTTGGTGGGAATGTAAATTGATACAGCCACTATGGAGAACAGTATGGAGGTTCCTTAAAAAACTAAAAATAGAATTACCATATGACCCAGCAATCCCACTACTGGGCATATACCCCGTGAAAACCATAATTCAAAAAGAGACATGTACCCCAATGTTCATTGCAGCACTATTTACAATAGCCAGGACATGGAACCAACCTAAATGTCCAGCGACAGATGAATGGATAAAGAAGATATGGCACATATATACAATGGAATATTACTCAGCCATAAAAAGAAACGAAATTGAGTTACTTGTGGTGAGGTGGATGGACCTAGAGTCTGTCATACAGAGTGAAATAAGTCAGAGAAAAACAAATACTGTATGCTAACACATATATATGGAATCTGAAAAAAAAATGGTACTGATGAACCTAGTTGCAGGGCAGGAATAAAGAGATAGACATAGAAAATGGACTTGAGGACATGGGGTGGGAGGGCGAAGCTGGGGCGAAGTGAGAGTAGCATTGACATAGCATCGACATACGTACACTACTGAATGTAAAATAGTTGGCTGGTGGGAAGCAGCAGCATAGCACAGGGAGATAGGCTTGGTGCTTTGCGACGACCTAGAGGGGTGGGATAGGGAGGATGGGAGGGAGGCTTAAGGGAAGGGGATATGGGGACATGTGTATGCATATGGCTGATTCGCTTTGTTGTGCAACAGAAACTAACACAGTATTTTGAATCAATTATACTCCAATAAAGATATATTTTTTAAAAACCAGGATGAATAGAAAAAGATGGAATAGTTGCTTGGCACCGAGTTATTAAAAAAAAAAAAAACTTGCCTGGCTGTAGCAGACTTCACATTCAACTCTGAGATTTGGGACTTCTTATGCTCAAAGCAAAAAAAAAAAAAAAAAAAGCAGTCTATAAGTGTCACATTACTTATAAGTTAAATGGAAACCAGATGTTCAGGAAGAGTAAAGCATTTTCTGGCTCTTAGACCTGAGAGAAATTTCTCCTTTGGGAGAAGGTAAGGTGGCAGCATCCTCAAAAACATCATTTTAGTAATAAAATGGTGGTTGTCTTATAGATGTTTCTTGAGACATTCTCTTTTATTCAAGCTAGGACCAGAGCACCAAAGTACGTTTCAGTTCAAGTGACTATATGGGGCCCACACAGTGCAGTTGAAGCTCACAGCTCTATAGTGCCTAGTTCGAACCACAGTTTAAGTCGAGATGTAAGGACATCCAGACATGAGACACCGTGTGACCCACTCCCATCTGGGTTCTCTAGCAGACATTGCTTAATCAATAATGCATTCTTCCCTGATGAATCTGGATATATCCTCAGTATTCTTAAATAGCTGTTAAAAACAGGACTTGGGTATAAGACGTCTTAGTCATCTTGGAAATTCTAGAGGAAAAAACAGCCTCTATATCCTTTGACAATTTTCAATCAGGTCTTTGCTTAACGATGGGTCGATACCTGTACTCTGGCAACTGGAAGGATATTTTAATTGTTTTAATTAAAAACCAAATTTTATATTTTAAAATTATATATGTAAACCAAATTATATATTTAAAAATTCAGTTGGACAGAGGTGGAAATAACATCCTTTTATGAGAATTAAGAAGCCTAAATGGATTTAGACAGACAGACACCCCACCGCACATTCATGGAAGGGAGACTTGCAGAGAAGGAGGGCATGATGACGATGCAGTTGTTATCACTGTTATGACTTAGATGTTCTGTTAAAAACCAGATGATTGTGGGCCTGGTTGCACAACTCTGAGTACACTAAGAACCATTGAACTGTACAACGTAAATGAGTGATTTGTATGTTATGTGAATTATTCTCAATAAAGCTGTTAAATACAGCAGAGATTTAATTGTTCAAAACAGTTTCTCATTTTTCCCCAAAAAGCATCGCTGCCATATTCTTTAGACTCAGCACGTAAGTTCAAATTTGTGAATCATTGTTATGAGAAAGTTCTATGTGACTGTCACATGGTTGCTTGGTATTAGTTTGACCAAGTTTGTGAATAGATAGTTCTATTATGTGAATAAAGAGTTCTATTGGAATCCTATTTGTACTAACTTTTTAATATTTATGGTTTATACATCTTTTTATCAAGTATATCCTCTGCATGTATTTCCCCAAATGATAGAAAACAGTTTATTCTTACAGATAAAGAACCTGAAGTGATTCTTCAAGGTGTTACCAGCAGTTATTAACCCCAAATAGAACACCAGTGTCCTGACCCCTTTAATTACCCATATAAGGACTGAAATTATTTTCATGGATACATTTGTTTTTCGATTATATATTAATTAGCAAACACATTGGCTTTCCCTTTCTGTTATACCTGTAGCAGAAAAGATTACCATTTAAAGAGTTATCTTAAAACTAAGATATTCATTGTATTTAGGACCTTGAATTTACTGAATCATGGAAAAGGAGGAAATTAAAATGAATTCATTTACTAGGTAAGATATGTAGGGCTTTTAATTGTGATTATAAGAAATATTTAGAACTGGAGAAAGAGGCCAATTTTATTATCTTCATTTTAATGTTAATAAGCAGTGTTTGTCAGGAGATAGCTCGGAGTCCAGCACAGTTATTTCTTTTGGATAGCTTTATCGAGGTGTAATTCACATACCATATAATTCACCCCATTAAAATGTACAGTTCATTGATTTTTAAATAAATTCACAGGGTTGTACCACGGTCACTACAATCAAATGTAGAACGTTTCCATCACCCCAATAAAGAAACCCCCTACACATTAGCAGTCACTCCCCATTTTCCCCTGACCCTCATAGCCCTAGGCAACCACTAACCTACTTTCTGTCTCTACAGATTTGCCTATTCTGAACATCTCATATAAATAGAACCATATAACATGCAGCACAGCTTATTTTAATATTTTAGGAAAATATGGAACATTTGCAGGAACAACTAAACTTGAGAAAACATTTCTCCCATGTTTAAGTCTAAATTGTGGGATAGGCCATTGATGCCATTTAAATTGGGGGTGAAATTGAGATCAACAGACGTAGAAAAATCTAATTTCAACACCACATGTTAGTTTGCTCTTTTGGTTGTTATGTTTAGAGATCCTCTGTTTGGAAATCTTTGTGTCTTTCACCAGTGGGTGTCAGCATCTGACTAAAGATGATGCCTCCAAGAGCTACTTCTGTAAATAACCTTGAAGCCAGTCGGCCAAGGTCAATATCAACGTTATTTGAATTCTGCGTTCATTTATGTGATCACCTCAGAGTAAAAATTTGTAACAAATCACCTGAACCATATGCTATTTTAACCATTAGATAGCTTTAAAAGATTAAAATGTCATCACTTTTACTGAATTTAAACTCTGATTTTTTAAAACATATTTACTTGGAATCACCCACTTTGAGAGTTACGTGATAGAGCTTATATTCTAAAGACTGGGCTAAGGGGTGGATTTGAATTTTTTTTACGATAACATTTTAATGCTTTATGCTAGCAAATATAGAGATGTTAAGAAATGGTGCTCTGATTAGCCTTGTCATTTGATTAGCCCTGACATGGATAATCAATTGCATTAGGCAATTAAATGCTGAGACCTTCGTTTGTTTAACATGTTTTATGCTATGCTGACTACTTTCATCTCGCATTCTCCTTGTAGGATATCTTCTAGGTAGTGAAGATTACTATTCCCATGAGCGCTGTACGTTAATCAACGCTCTGAATGTTACACGATGTGCTCTTGATTTTCGAGATGATGAAGAAGTTGCAACAGGGTATAAAAATATGTATTCAACAAATGTATTTACTGAAAGGGCTACAACCCTCATAACTAACCACCCACCAGAGAAGGTAAGTCTTGCTTTTTTATTGATATCAAAATTGTGTGAAGATAGCATCTCTTCAGGTGAATATAGGAAAAGGCCATTGTCCTTTAGGGAAAAACCTAATAAATACTAGGGGAGTCACTTTCAAGTTCTAGAGTACCTCAGTATCAGCTGAGAAGCTTGTTAAAAATAGAAATTCCTGGAGCCCACCTCTAAAAGTCTGATTTATTAAGTCTGGGAAAAATCCATATGTCAATATTTTAAGGAAACTCAAGGGTGATTCTGCTGTACGCGGTCCCCAGATCACACTTTGAGGAATGCTGTGCATATAGTGTTTCAGTACAAATATAGTTTTATTATTTTAGTATCCTGTGTGGAGGTGTGGTAATTAGTAAATTGACTTTTTCAAAAAATGTTAGGCTTATGTACAAGATGAGGCATTATTATGGCAAACTTTCTGTTAGGTATCCACAAACTTAAGGTTCAGGGCAAGTTCCCTAACTTTGTATTTCCCAGCCCTCCGCCAAGGTTATTTTGGCTATTCTAAATATTCTGCATTCCCATGTTTATTTAGAAGCAGCTGGCCAATTTCTACAAAAAAAAAAAAAAAAAGTACCTGCTTGGATTTGGATTTCATTGAATCTGTGGACCAACTTGGGGACAATGACATCTTAAAAATATTGAGCCTTCTAATCTATAAACACGGTACACTGATGAGCCTGTTTATCACATCGACCATACTGAAGCTAGTTGTATATGTCATGTGCTGAAATCTTTTGACTTATTTACAGATAAAAGTAGAAAAGAGTCTGAATAGCCTTGACATTTGTTGTTGTCGTTGTTAATCTGGAGTTAACCTCCTGAACCCAAGTTCAAGCTGAATTCTCTGGATTTAGCTTATAAATGCCTTTAAATCAGATATTTGTGTTGTCAGATATTGGGCTCAAAATATGGCTTCATTAAGAACTGTATTAACATGCCCTCGAAATTAGACCTTCAATAGGACTCTAACACTGCAAATTATAGAACGTGCGGTGTTATCCAGTTTTTCCAGTTTCCTGCGCTTTGCCTCCTTGGCGGTTACTGAAGGTCCTCAGTGTAGATCACCATTTGGATTCCTGTTTCGATACCTGTTCAGACTTGGCACCTGGCTCCTGACTCCGTTTTTGACATAGTTTCTTCCTGCCTACCCTAACGTAGCATTGAGTGGCTTTCCTGGTGTCTGTCCTCAGCTTTGCCCCACTTTGGGCTTTTTTGTACTCTTTGCCCCACTTTGGGCTTTTTTGTACTCTTTCATGCTGACCTGTTGGAGTGGCCGTGCTTGCTGTGGAACATGGAAGAAATTGGAATATTCTCTCAAATATGTAGACATATGCAGATTTAAAATCTAGATGTAAACCAATATTCAGGTAGTTCGACAGATAACTGCTAGGTAATTGGCTTAAGTTCTCAGTCTTCTTCTGTATGTTTGGCATGTTATAGATAAGGTTAAAAACCCAAAGAACAAGCTAAGATCTTGAGGGAACTGTGGTCCTTGTCCTGTCCTTTGAAGTTTGAGGTGGGCATCATTTTTCAGGTAAGCAAACTGGCTTAGAGAAATGAGGTAACTTGTTCAAGGTCACAGAATCAGCAACTGCACTGTTTAACTCCAGAGCTCAGTGCACTTAACAAGCCTCCCTAGTTGACAGTTTATATCCCAGACCAGCGACTATGAGCCCCAGTTTGTGACTCAGCTTGATGGTTCCAGTATACAATACAATGACAGTATATTGGGATCATCTGCAAAGCTTGGAAGAAATACCACTTCCAAATATTGTGATTTATTGGTCCGGGGTGGGACCCTATCACTGGTATTTAATTATCCCTCCGCTCCTACCTCCAACCAGTGATTCTGATGTGCAGTCACTATCTATTCCTCTCAAGCACAGAGAAGCAAGCAGAAGCCATCTGCCCTTTACAAGTTCACAATATACCACTCTTTAATCATGCAACAAGTATAAGATGTCTACAATAAAAATTTGTTTCCATTAAGGAACAATAGAGTATTCTCTCCCAGTGCCCATAACATTAATCAAATAAGAGGAAGCACCTGGGGTGAAATCATTCCTGGTGGGTGGGCTGTCTTAACTGGTGTAGGGGGAGAAGGCTCAGGAACTGAGGAAAACTGTAGGCCCTAAGAGCTCACAAGCCACCCACACCCGTGTGATTAGTATGGTGCTGCTCATAGGTAATATGGAAATTGCTGGGTGAGAGGTGGTCATTTTCCTACAGTGACTGAAACGTTCCAAAGCAGTAGCCAGCCTTTTCAGCATCCCCAAAGTCAAGTTTGAAGCATAGACATAAATGAATGAAATAATCAATAGCTGAGTAATAGCCCCAGAAAGTTTAAGACGGCAGATGCCAATGTTTATAGTTTCAATTCTCAATGAAAGGACGCAGCACACCAATTACAGGACTTTCATCATTTTATTCCAACATTGAATCTAATTCTGTTCTTACTTCTCTGTGCTATCTACAGACTGTAACATAGGCAACTTGCTCTAAGATGGAAATCATTAAAGAAATACACACAAAGTATCCACAAGCTGACTTAAAAATGTGTCTGTTTTAAAGAGCTCTTGGGGGAAAAAAGCATATGGAGCTATTTTGTAACAGAAACACAGTTGGTGCTGGAATCAGGGAGATATTGCTAATAACCATTGCACAGTGTTAAGAAGGAATGTCTTTTCTCCTTTTTCTACAGGGTAATTCCCTTAGTACTAATACTACAATGTGAAAGTAACACAGTCACAAAATATCGTTTGGTTAAAAATAGCCCCCCTCGGGCTTCCCTGGTGGCGCAGTGGTTGAGAGTCCGCCTGCCAATGCAGGGGACACGGGTTCGTGCCCAGGTCCGGGAAGATCCCACATGCCGCAGAGCGGCTAGGCCCGTGAGCCATGGCTGCTGAGCCTGCGCGTCTGGAGCCTGTGCTCCGCAATGGGAGAGGCCACAACAGTGAGAGGCCTGCGGACCTCAAAAAAAAAAAAAAGCCCCCCTCAAAACTTTGCAGAATAAAAATAAATGTTTTCTCCCATACCTCATCTACTAGCAGCTTCTTAAAACAAATGTGACTTTCTAGTGGTAGACACTTACCTTTTCCTGTCACAATTTGGAAAGAAATGTCTTAATTTGGAAGTCAAAGAGAATAACACTTTAAAAACATATCATATGCTTTTTAAAAAAGTTATACTTTAAATTAGGGAAATGTACTAAAGAAATGAATTTAAGTCTTTCTTCCTTACTGGAATTAGCATAATGAGAAAGGGAAATAAACCCTTAGCACCATTTTAATATGCTAATAACTTTAGGTTATAATGTCATACTTTTACTTAATACCTAAACATTTGGTCGTGATTCACATTTAGGATTCCAATTTACAGACCTAAAGAAAGGCGTACAGCTAGGGTTGGTGTAAAAGTGGCAGCTGTAACTGGGTTGGTGAGAGCAGAGATCTGGACCCACCCAAGAAAGACCAAGGGAGAGATCAAGGTCCTGCGCAAACCCAGAGATCTATGGAGTTCAAACTCGGGTCCAGGACTTTGGTGTTTTGAATCAGGATGTCAGTAAGGTCAGAATGGGCCTGAAAGTCTCCAAAGGCCAAGGCTCCATTAGGTTGGAACGCAAGTCAGTAGACAGCATACTAATAATGAGCCCATCCCCAGGACGGCAGCTGCTGGCTTTGGGCTAACAGTGAGCTGAGGTTGGCAGATGTGGGGAAATTGGCTACAGCTGTTTACTGGGAGGGTCTTAGGACAAGAGGCTGAAGGCAGGTTCCTGACTGTGGTGGAGAACCTGAGGGCCCGAGTTAATTGTTCTTTCCACTGGGGTACCACGTGGTACTAAGAATACTCTGTTAATTTTTTTTTTCAATTTAAAAGTAGTATAGAAATGTTTCACATCTAGCACTGTTGGCAAATGAGTTGTTCCATGAATAAAGTTCACCTTGTGAGAACTGAAACTTTATTTTTACAATATTGGTTGGAAATACTCTAAAATGTGGTACATTGGTCCTCACCTCATTAAATGGGCTACACTGTTTATCATTCTGACTCCTGGTGACCCAGAGCCATACCGATGTGTGCAAGGATGTTTGCCCATACACTAAATGGTCCTAGATCACTGTTGACGAAACGGGAAAAAGACAACTTGTTTTGTTCAAGAATCACCTTTACCTGTAAGTCTAGTTGGCAGGTAGCACGAGGCCTTTGCGGGGCCTGTAACAGTCATAGGCCAGGGAAGACTGCATCTCCCAGGGGTTGTTTTCATTTTCTCTTCTCAGTTATGCCCCTTCTGTTTGAACTAACAGGAGCCTGACCACTGGATAAATGGGGGAATTGTTGTAGTATTATCATTTTAATCCCTCAAGAGCAATGGTCATGTCTTCAACCACTAAAGAATAATTACAGGAGAGGTTTTCAGGTAATTTCTTGCTATATTTAACAAAGTGTGTAGAATGATTTCCACACTGAATATTTATAAGACCCTTTAATGATGGTCCCAGAAACATTATTTTTTCCCCAGAGTGGTTATGAGATCTCTCCTCCACCACCCTCCCCAGCTGTCACCTCCAGGGATCACTTGTTGGCTGGAAATGACCTGCCTTCCTTCCCCTTTCTCTCCTTAATGACGGGAGCTGCCGAGTTGCCCATAATGGCCTGGGTGAGCACTTTCTCCTGAAACAGTGAGCTCCCTTTTTCATTTCTCCACCCCTGTCCACTGTAGAGAATCCAGACCAGGGTCACAAAGTCTTATGTTTACAAGGGCCAGGCTGCTACCCTAAATAAATGAAGTCATTCAGGTAGGACAGTGGGGAGACTAGAAAATAAAAGAGCCCTTGGGGGAGGCCAGGGGTCTCTGTTTCTCATACTCCAGCCATTTGTTGTCAGATGGAGTGTGGACCTGGAGTTGTCAGAAGTTCTGAGTTTTCAAGAAAATAAAAAAACGAAACAAAACAGGTTTTCATGTGACATTTCCTGATTTTTAAAACTTTATGTGGGTTGCAAATTGTTGTAGCTTTCCAATTTTTAATCCGTCCCCATCCAGACCTTGGCTGGTGGCTGGGGCATGGGCTTGGTCTAGTGCTGAAGATCCAGACGGCAGTTCCCACCGCGGAACCTCACTGCGCCGGCAGGTCCTGGATGTCCCTGCACATCCTTTCCCCTCCGAACATCTTAGCCCAGGGTTCTTCCTCCCCACCTGGGTGGGGCATCTGCTGGGATTCCCTTCACCATGGTCTGGAGGAACATGGACTTTTCAGTGTGACTTGTGTGGCTGGAGGAGAACGCACGTGTGTCAAGGAGCAGCAGAGGCAGAGCTAAAGCCTGTCAAAGGGGTTAGTGTTGCCTTTTGGAGTTGGAATTTGGAATGCGTTCCCATGGAAACAATGTATAAACGAAGCCTAGGGTCTACATCATCATGGTTTTTATTCCATCACCTGCCTCCTTAGTAAAATAGGTTTTAAAGTGATGTCTTTGATATTGAACAGCCATTTTGAACATTTTGATTTTTGGGAAAAGGTGTTTCTAAGTTCCAAAGATCTGAACTAAAAATACTGTCTTGGGTGTCTATTTGAGTTCTAGATATGTATACCCATTACTGTATCACAGTGATGTGTAATATGTAATTTAAAACAATTTATCAACAGTAATGAATGAAATATGAGCCCACCTCCCAGTCTGCATTCTAACTTTTCCCCATTCCTTTATGAGATTTAAATGCCTCAAATACTCCAACAGAATTATGTTTTTACTCTTGGGTTGAGCCAGTTGTTGTCTCTTTGAGAGTTTTCAATTCATTAAAGAATTCTATAGGAGCGCAGTGAAGAGAGCCTTCAGAAAGACTCATTAAGAGGAAGAGGCTGACACAGAATATCATTAACATTAAATTCTGTAAAATGGGTAAGAGGTAAAATGAATCAATGTATCATACTCCTTAGTTTCCAGGAATTAAATTGGCCTTATGTTTGGTCCTAGATCAAAGACTAGCAAGGCACGGTGTTCACTTGTTTTCTTCTAAAAATATAAACAATTCTTAAACCTCTCCTAAAAGGTGGTAACTTATTTTTCAGCTAAAGCAGAAAGCCAACCCATCTATTGGGACATAGCCACACTGTAAGAGTGGGGTTTCCAATAGGAAATTGCTCTGCAATTAATACGAACTTGTGCAAGTCATATAACCTTTCTAAGCCTCAGTTAACTTACCTATAAAATGGGTGTAGCAAGGTGGTTTTTGAGTATTACATGAGACAGAATTATTGGTATTATTATTTGTTTGGATCAGAGCTTTCTAGGCCATTTTAGAACTCAAGCTTTTATTTTCATAAAATTCACCCATTTAAAGTACACAATTCAATAGTAAATTCACAGAGTTTTGCGACCATCACCACAGTCTAAGTTTAGAACATTTTCACCGCCCCCAAAAGAAGTCTTGTACCTGTTAGAAGTCACTCATCCCTCCCCTCACCCACAACTCCCTACAGCTTCAGGCAACCACTAATCTACTTTCTGTTTCCATAGATTTGCCTATTCTGGACATTTTATATGAATGGAATCATACAAAACGTGATCTTTGTGATTGGTTTCTGTCACTTAACATAATGTTTTCAAGGTGCATCTATGTTGTAGGATGTGTCAGTACTTCATTCCTTTTTACGGCTGCATCATATTCCTTTTATTGCTGTCTATTGCTGAAAATAGACCACATTTTGTTAATCCATTCGTCAACCGGTGGACATTTAGTTGTTTCCACTTTTGGGCTATTATGAATAATGCCACTGTGATCATCCATGTACAAGTTTTTGTGTGGATTTATGCTTTTGTTTTTCTAGGGATGGAAATGCTGACTCATATGGTAACTATATCTTTAACAATTTCAGGAACTGCCAAGTTGTTTTTCAAACTGGCTGCACCACTTTACATCCCCATCAGCAATGAATGAGGGTTTCAGTTTTTCCACATCCTCACCAACACTTCTGATTTTCCATTTTTAAAATTATAACCCTCCGAGTGGGTGTGAAGTGGTATTTCAGTGTGGTTTTTATTTGCATTTCCCTAATGACTAATGATGCAGAGCATCTTTTCATGTGCTTATTGGCCATTTGTGTATCTCCTTTGGAGAAACATCTGTTCAGATTCTTTGCCCATTTTGTAGTTGGGTTAATTGAGTTTTATTATTGAGTTGTAAGAGTTCTTAATATATTCTAGATACAAGTCCCTTATCTGATATATGACTTACAAATATTTCTAACCCAGTTTGTGGGTTGTCTGAATATTACTTTTATTAACTGATAAATCTGGGCTTCTCTATATATATTTAATGCTTCCAAGCCCTCTTAACTGATTTGCACAAACTCTCTTTCCAGCCTCTGTTTCTCTACCTTGCTCTCCAGTCTGTCCACGAGCCCCTTCAGGTCCCCGAGGAATACCTGAAGCCATACGACTTTATCCAAGATAAGAATAGGCATTACTATGCAGGAATGGTGTCCCTTATGGATGAAGCAGTGGGAAATGTCACCACAGCCTTAAAGAGCCGTGGGCTCTGGAACAACACGGTGTTCATCTTCTCCACAGGTAAGTCCGTCGATAGGAAAATCATCTCTTGGCAGAGCCTAGGACATAGTATTCAATAAATGGAATGAAGATAAATTGGAGCATTTAGCAGTTCCTTATTAAAATAAATGCTAACTGCAAGAGTGGAGACATCATAATAACGGATAGAAAAATGTGTCTAAGGAAGAAGAATTATGAGCCTTCTGTCTTCCTTCAGATATCAAAATATTCTGGGAGTATGCTTGAAGACAAGCTCTCAGTAACTGAGTAAGTGTGAGTGGACAACACTCCTATGCAGGGCAGCTGGGCAGTGAATCCCTGGACTGACTTGTTCCCAACAATGTCTACAGCCCAGGCATCCTCTATGAAGAGGACTTCCGCTGACTAGAGGGGTCTCTGTATCAGTGCAGAGGCAGATGGTGACATTATGAAGACACTTAAGAAATGGAACCATTTAAATCTAGGCTAGAGTCTCCAAGTATAGATTCTTTTATATTAAAATTTTCTGACAATAAAGTCATATATCACTGATTATAGAAAAAACAAAAGAAGGGAGAAAAATTTTTTGAAAAATCATTTTCATTATGGCAATGTCATTCTGATTCCTAATCTGTTATATGTATGTGGTTTTTTCCCCCTTCTCATTAGACATAGTTTTCTAAAATTTCCCTATGATGTGCTTTGGGTGTAGATCGTGGTTTATTCATTATGCTGAGTATTCAGAGAGCACTTTCCATCTGAAAATGCAGATCCTTTTGTTATGGGAAATTTCCTTGTGTTCTTTATTTCAGAATTGTTTGGCCCTCCTTCCCACCTTTCTCCTATTCTCTCTGTACAAAACTCCTGTTATTTGGGTATTGGGTCAATCCTCTAATTTTCTAGGTTTTTTTCCTCCCCTATTTCTTTATTTTTCTTCTACTACTTGGGAAATTTCCTTATCATTATTCTCTAATCATTCTATTGAATTCATTGCAACCGCCATTTTTTAAAGTCTATTTTATTTTTTTATTGGAGCATAATTGCTTTACAGTGTTGTGTTAGTTTCTGCTATAGAGCAAAGTGAATCAACTATATGTATACGTATATCCCCTCCCTTGAGCCTCCCTCCCACCCCGCTGCCATCCCACCCCTCTAGGTCATCACAGAGCACCGAGCTGAGCTCCCTGTGCTATGCAGCAGCTTCTCACTAGCTATCTGTTTTACACATGGTAGTGTATATATGTCAATGCTACTCTCTCAATTCGTCTAACCCTTCCCTTCCCCGCCTGTGTCCACAAGTCCGTTCTCTACCTCTGCATCTCTTTTCCTGCCCTGCAAATAGGTTCATCGGTACCATTTTTCTAGATTCCATATATATGCGTTAATATACGATATTCATTTTTCTCTTTCTGACTTACTTCACTCTGTATGACAGACTCTAGGTTCATCCATATCACTACAAATGACCCAACTTCATTACTTTTTATGTCTGGTAATATTCCATTGTATATACATACCACATCTTCTTTATCCATTCATCTGTAGATGGACATTTAGGTTGTTTCCATATCCTGGCTATTGTAAATAGTGCTGCAATGAACATTGGGGTACATGTATATTTTTTTGTTTTTTATTTTATTATTATTTATTTATTTATTTTTGGCTGCATTGGGTCTTTGTTGCTGCACGTGGGCTTTCTCTAGTTACGGCCAGTGGGGCTCCTCTTCGTTGCGGTGCCCGGGCTTCTCGTTGCCGTGGCTTCTCTTGTTGTGGAGCACAGGCTCTAGGTGCGCGGGCTTCAGTAGGTATAGCATGTGGGCTCAGTAGTTGCAGCACGCAGGCTCAGTAGTTGTGGCGTGCTGGCTGTAGGGTGCATGGGCTTCAGCAGTTGTGGCACGCGGGCTAAGTAGTTGTGGCTTGTGGGCTCTAGAGCGCAGGCTCAGTAGTTGTGGTGCACAGGCTTAGTTGCTCCGCAGCATGTGGGATCTTCCTGGATCAGGGATCGAACACATGTCCCCTGCATTGGCCAGCGGTTTCTCAACCACTGCGCCACCAGGAAAGTCTCTGGGGTACATGTATCTTTTTGAATTATGTTTTTCTCAGGGCATATGCCCAGTAGCAGCAACCACCATATTTTTTAATTGTCAAAAACTCTTTCCTGTTTTCTGATAACTCCTTTTTTGTAAAGTTTGTTTTTATTTTATAAATGTAATAATTTATTTCTCCAAAGCCTGCGCTCTTAACCATTAATTTTGTATATATATATATGTGAATGTGAGTGTGTATGTAGGTATGTTTATACATATACATATATGTGTGTATTAGGTATACACATACATGTATTTTTTTTTACTTTTTAAAAAATTTTTGTCAGAGTATAGTTGCTTCACAATATTGTATATATTTTTAAGTTTGCTTGTACTCCCAACTTTGTCTCTTTCTCTTCTAAGGTCATTTGTATCTTTGTTTTGGTCTGTCTTTCATGAAGGAGGCTTTTTCAGACCCCTAGTGATCCTTGGCTAAAACCCAAAAATTTGATTGGAAACTCGAAGGGTGAGGTCAGGACTTGTCATCTGGTAAGTTTTACTGTAAAGTGACTGTGTGAGAAGTATGACGTGACACGCTGAGGAATTAATCTGGGTATTCTACTTATAGATTTTTAAAAGAGTTGTTTTGTTTTGTTTTGCTTGTAATTAGGCATGGTTATGGAACGTAGCATTTACTGAGTACTTACCATGTGTGGGACATGGTTCTAAGTGCTTTTCATGAATAAGTTCAGTTAATCCTCAGAATAATTCTCTGGGGACTCTTATTATCCCATCTTGCAGATGTGAGGACTGAAGCACAAAGAGGCTAAGTAACTTGCCTAAGGTCACTCAGCCAGGCAGAGTGAGGTGTCACCCTTTCTGCCTCTGACACGATGATCTGGAAGTTCTTACTGGACCTCAAGATACAGCAGTGCTTTCCCCGAGATGTGCTGCAATTTTGATTTGTTGAGAAGCCTCGGCACGGCCGGGGTAGCATCCACCCTGACCAGCCTTTTTCAGTTGCTTTAGTGCTATACAAATACTATAATTTTCTAAGTGTGTTCCGCTGTGAAAAAGGTTGAGTATAGATAACATATGTTTTCCCCAAAACACTTACCCTTCAGAAAAGAGGGCAATATCTTATACTAAAGTCCTTACAAGTTCTCTCATAGTCCGAGAGTCGTTTTCAATTTCCTTTATTTTGAACAGCCTGGTAAAGCACTTTGATCAGTGCTGGTATTGAATGCTTATAGAGGTCACTGGAAAGAATCAATTAAAAAGGAGTCCAAGACGTTTAATACTGATTTAGTAATTATTCCTGGGAAATGACCTCACTGTTTTAAGAATTGGAAGTTGTAAGTTTGTGAAACAAGCCTTTGTTGTAGATATCACAATTATACAATTTAAGGATAAATTATATCCTGAAATGAACGTATACATGGATTGATGTATCATACATAGACTGAGAAGTACTCAGACAGAAGTGAAAATGGTAGCTCTGGAAAACTGTTAAACGTCTCAGGGTGGCTCCTGTGACAACAGATACTGATGTCAAGTGTGCATGGGGAGAGGTTTTTTCATAATAAGTGAGGGTGGAAAACAATATTTTAAGATCTGTATATCTCTTTTATTATATGATTTCAAATGTTTATACATAGACATATTTTAAATAGATAGTTGACTATTTCATAAATACCCATAATATTTATTCAAGTCGGCAAAAATAATTTTTGGAGCTTTACACTGAGAAAATGGGAATTACCTTATAATTGGGTTGCCCTATTCTGACAGTTTGATATATTAATAGATATATTAGTCTTGGACCATCTTTGCTTTGTCGAGCTAAATCCAACTTTATAGTGCGTATGTATTTTAATTATACTGCTGGATTCAGTTGGCTAGGGTTTTATTTAGAAGATTTGCATTGATTTAAAAGTAAAAGTGGAGTAGGTGGTTTCTTTTCTCCCTGTTGGGTTTTGTTGTAACATGTCGTAACATACTTTGGAAGTTTTTCCATCTTTTTCTATGCTCTGGAACACTTTGCAGATTGTTTGAAAGATCCCTCTGGTAAGCTGGTCCCTGGAACCGTTTTAGGAGGCTTAAAAAAATTATCTCCATAGTTTAAATTTTTTGCTTAATTATATCTAGGGGTGTGGGTCTTTAAAATATTTTTAAATTAATTTTGCCTGAAATCCAGTGAGCCCTTTGATCTGCATGCTGAGATTATTTTTCACTCCAGGAAGTCTTCCTTGTTCATATTTTAGCTTATTGCTTTTGTTCTGTTTGATTTAATTCTCAAAAATGGCTTTAATTAGTAGGTGGAATTACTGACTCAGCTTTTCTTTCATCAGTTTCCGTTTTTCATCCTTTTTCTCAGTCTGCTGGAGCTCTTTTGCATTACCAGTTAGACATTTGTGCAGTTTTAATGCTGCTCTTTAATATCTCCAGTGGAGATTACTATTGATAGTATTTTTAGCATCTTTGCAATCCTTTCTTTGCCTCAATCAGTTCTTTTTTCTTTTAAGTTTGTTAGTAATAATAATGACTACTGGTTATTAAATATTTACTGCATCCCGGGCCGTTCTAGTGCTTTTCCTATACTTTCTCATTGTTAATCATGTTTTAATCATTAAAGTTCCAAGTAGCATTGTAAAATGGGTTTCTTTATCCCTACTTTAAAAATGAAGAAACTGGGCTTCCCTGGTGGCGCAGTGGTTGAGAGTCCACCTGCCGATGCAGGGGACACGGGTTCGTGCCCCGGTCCAGGAGGATCCCACGTGCCGCGGAGCGGCTGGGCCCGTGAGCCATGGCCGCTGGGCCTGCGCGTCCGGAGCCTGTGCTCCGCAACGGGAGAGGCCACAACAGTGAGAGGCCCGCGTACCACCAAAAAAAAAAAAAGAAGAAACCAAAATTTAAAGAGGTCAAGTGATTTGCCCAAGTCTACTGCTATGGTCTGAATGGTTGTGTTCCCCCAAAATTCATATGTGGTGGTGTTGGAAGGTGGGGGCCCTTGGG